AGACTGTTTGTTTCATCCAACATTGCTTTTCTGATTAAAAGGTTGTCTGTAGCATCACAGAAACAAAACTTTGCTTTTGCAGACTATGATGTAAAAATTGCTCTTTTCCACACTGAAACCTGCAGCAATATCCCACAGGATTAAGAGAAAACAATCAACTAAGTGGTATGAAGTGGAATGATCCCCAAGTCTCTGAAATGGAGCAGTACTCTCCTGGGTCTATAGGCTGCCCAACACCCAGTACCCCTGGATCTGACTTCTACTCAGCCAGTGGGAAGCACAACAGCATTTCTGTGGGTGGAATGGACAACTGATCCTCTATTTATACTCCTTCATCTGTATAGAAAAGACTGACCTCTCAGCTTTTTTTACTCTCTTTTGCTACACTTTCAAAAAGATGAACATGAAAAGTTATAAACCCAAAGGCATACACCAAAAAAACAAAGATGTTTTGGTTGTTGTTTAAACTTGAAATGAGACCAGACAGTTATGGAAAGAGCTTGCAATCCCATCTGTGTTTTCATGAAAGCAGGTGAGGTCAGTGTGTTGTCTGCCCACGCTTCCTTCTATTTCCTTGTAAACCCCAAAGTGTATAGCAGGGTATCCAGTTTACTTAATTGTCTCTTGGAAATTCTCCAGTAGTGTGGATGTTTTGTCATGTCCCCAGAAGATCCCTTTTTTGTACACTTTCTCTCTTGTACATCCTCTTCCCTGTGTTTGGTTGGTTGGTTGTTGTTTTTTTTTTTCATTATAGTGAAGAAATATTCATTAACAACAGCAAACAGGCAAAAAACTGTTTGCTTTACTACAAAGGAAAGAGCATTATTTGAGAGCATCCTGCTAGCTGAAGGGTGCTTTCTTCCCTAAGCGACCAACCTCAGTAATTGCCAGAAAAGGTAAGGACTCCTTGTATCTTTCATTGTGGAACTCCTTTAACGACTTTCTTTTGTCCAACAGCTCTACAAAACTGTTACGTAAAGTAACTGTAGTGACTGGAGCTTTCCTTGCAGCTGTTTTATTTTTCTCCTATAAGAAGCAGAAGTAACATTAAGGACTCCATGACAAAAGGAAAAAAGAAAAAAAAAAAAAAAAACCAACAAAAAACCCAGATGGTGCTGTGTTGGTAAGCAACTTTAAAGAAAGATGAAAGAAACCACAGAGCTCTATTTAGGTCTTGTAAAAACTCAAGCAGTAAATATCCACTCCTTTGATCTTACTTAACCGTGATGATGCTTCATCTTCTGTTGCTGAGAAGGAAAAGTTCTGGGAACAAATGAAAAAGGTAGTTGTGATATTCCTTGAAATTCCTAGAGATTTAGGATGGCAGCCTGTAAGTAAATAATCCCTACGGAAAGCAGTTATAATTACATTGTCCAGTTCAACCATGATTAAATCTAACATTGTCTGTTATATTATCTCTGTCTTCTCCCATCTTCCCCAGACCCACTTCTCCCTTTACATTTGAAGTCTTATCGTACAGCCATGATCACTGCAGTTGTGGAACACGGTGACATTCCTGGATGTCACATCGGTCTCTTTGTTCTCAGCCATCTACAGATTGATGGCAGATGGCAGTTTCAAATGCACACGCATTTGAAGTGCTCACTCTGGTCCACTGAAAAAGAAATAGAAGCTATTGGGGGTCATTGTCTCCATTACAGTGAACAAGCCACATGTAATGTTTGCAGACACTGTCTAGGCAGTCTCAGGCTGTCATTCTGTTTCGTGCAGGTCTATACATAATAGCAGAAATACCCTCAGATACCCTCAGATTATTCATTTGAGTTAGTCAAGAATAATTTTAAATAAAAATTCAAAAATAAAAAAAAAGGAAAAAGGAGAGTATCTGGAAAGGAAGAGCCTTAATACTGCATGAAATGAATAGTTTAGGTAACAGCTTCTGCTTTTATTTGGCATAATTTAAAAAAAAAAAAAAAGGCAACTTCTAAATAAAAGATACCATGTCTTGAAATTGATATAAAATTACACTGTATATTTCACCTTCACTGAAGAAGAATAACCTGTGGCTTCCTTAGATATGAGCTTGCATAATACTGCATTAAGAGAGTTGTCTCATGGAAAAAGACATGTTTGTTTTCCAGTTACTGTATGAATAAGAGAACAAGTCAAGCACTCTAGCAAGATGCAATATTTATTTGTGATAGGTGGTATAAAACTCTCTCATGCATCTGTATAGCTAGATGATTTGGCTGATAAATATATCCTAGAAAAAAATTAGCAATCACTGAATTCCTTAATAATGGAAATAACTTATTTAAATGATGAACTTGGAATATAATATCAGATTCCATGAATCCCATCTGTCCAATCAGGCTATTCAGAGGCCAGATACCTTGCTTGCAAAAGTTTTTACAACTCTGGTTCTTAGCAAGGAAATGCTTTCTTGATTTGTAGGTGTCATGGTTCAAGCCCAGCTGGCAACCTGGAACCACGCAGCCGCTCGCTCACTCCCCCCCACCCCCTTTCTTC